GGGGGGGGACATTAGAGTGTAAGCTCCTCTGTACAGAGACTGATGTGACCGGCTCAGTGTTCTCTGTACAGCGCTGCGGTATATGTCAGAGCTATATACATGCATATAAACAGTATGTGACCTTTAAAGGATTAGTTCTCCGGATCCTAGACCTGGCGGATAATGGAGATCCGGGACCGGAGCTGACACGCAGACTGTTTACATTCCAGTTGCGGCATTTAGAGGGAAATTAAGGTGAAAGAAAAAAAAAATGTGATATCAAATCGCTCTTTGTTATTGAGATGCCGCTGCCACCGCCGCTCGCTCCCCTTCACCTCGTGGGCTCCTGGGGGCCGGTTCCCCCCCTTACCCAGCGAGGCGTGCCAGATGCCCGAGAAAAAGAGCATGTATTATCCTGTTACACAGAGGAACAAAGCCGTGTGCTGCCATTACTTCAGCGCGCAGCGCAAGTCAGCCCAATTAACGGCGATTCCGTAACATCTTGATAGAGAGAGGGGAGCTGTGCAAGGCACTCTGGGTAAAGGGAGGCGAGAGCGTGGGGGGCGCTCGGGATGCCTGGGAATAAGACATTATCGGGAGGAAAAGGGGATTCCTACGGATCTGAGGCCGGACTGTCCACATGGGAACAATCTGCCGGGCTACCGGGCTTCAATTATTTAAAGGAGCAGTACACCTAAACCAAACATATACAGTCAGCGATACGTATGTGAAAGCCACAACTGCACCGGACGTATCCGACAGCTGTGATACAATGTATTGCTTTGTGTTAGCTGCCATTGATTAATGCTACATGAGGCTTAAAAGTGACAGTTGGGGCTTACTGGGCAGGTCTTCCCCTTTCCCTTCTCACCCCATTCCAGTTTATACCATGTTATTTTCAGTATTCTAATAAGATACTAACGGTATGTACTATCGTCATGTATAAAAGGACCGTTGTCCACAGATGGCTGCGCACGTTTGGGAGAACATCAGTTGGTTCTGTTGGGTCCGGAGCACCTGGTGTGTACTCATCTCTAGAAATCTCATCTGAACAAATGTATTAAAGTACTTTTTATAGAAAGAGGGAAAATCTCTATATTTCAGTTGTCACCAAACAGGAATAGAAGGGAAATCATCAAGCTTGACACTTCCTAATGCATGGACAGGAAAGAGAATCACCCCAATGAAGGGGGGTGGGGGGGGGAGGGTACCACCTCCATACTCCATCCCAAGTGTTTGGCTTTGGATATACTTCAAGAACTTTCTATTGCTGGATGTGTTTTGCAGACCCCGAGATCTGCTCATCTGAAGTATGACGCCTCTGTAAGTCCTGTTTGATTATATTGCATGAGCGGGACTAGAGAAGACTGGATACGGTAACTCTGGATGAATCACATGGCGCCATCATTAAATGTGGTGCTGCACAAAGTATAAGGAGCGGCTCCGGCGCAGGGCGACGCGGCCTCATTCAACTTATGGATCTGACAGCCGCCTCGGCCGCCTATGGGACATTCAGCCCCCCAGGACCACTGAACCTTCCTCCCAGCCCTGAATGGGTTAAACTGTGCAAAACAACCTTCCCCCGGTGAAAAGGGGGCTCTAGTACCCATTTTCGGGCCCCCCCCCCCCCCAACAAACCGCCTTGGA